CTGTGTAGGAAAGAGAGGATGAAGAGAAATTAAAATGGTTAAGTCACATCCTTAGTGAACCTTGATATTCTGGGGAAAAAAAACATAAGCCCCCAAGAGGAAAATCATTTTCATATTGACATTTTGCTTAAAAAGTTTTCATTTCTGACTTGGGTTTTCATTTCTCTGAAATTGCTAAAATTCTTTTTAAAAATAGAAGCTTTCCCCCCCCGCATAATGAGTTCCATAATTAATTCCACTCCCTAAAAAATAATTTTTCAAACATTTTGCTGACTTTCTGTATGATATAGAAAGACTGCATTTCAAACACATTCTTAATAATTCAGAAATACTTTCTTGGTTTTATCAACTTTCTTAGTCAAAGGTTTAATTGCATTCTGACCTTTTTTAATTCAGTATCGTATATTTAAAAATGGAAGTGCTTTTCAGACCTGAACTAAGAGCTTTTATTATTCATAGCTTGGTATGAGATTGTGCAAAAGAATGTATTACTACATTTTGAAATAAAATTGTGATATACATAAGCTAAAAGAACTGTGGGATCCTACAAAAGTAGTCAAAGGGCTTATAAATGTTTTAATATTCTTTTCCTAAAAAGACCACTTTCTAATATTATCTAACTCCAAATTAACAAAAAGTTATGTTTCAAACTTTAGTGTTTTTAAACATCAGAAGCACATTTTCAAACTATACCATTGTAATTCAACTTCTGTTAGCCGACAAAACCGAAGGCTTCAAATTTAGAAAGACCCTTGAGCAATTGTCAAATAACTCAACCAAACAAGTTGTTTATTTCTAGATTTCAAAAACTACTGCTTTATCAAAAAATATAAGCAATTTTAAGGCACTGATATATATACAGTTCTATTTATGACCACTAGGGAAAGCTTTAACAAAGGCTTTAAATTAGATACTAAAATATTACACTGAGTGTATGCCATTTAGCAAAGATTTCACTGACTGCCAGTAGACCTCCTGAATGGGGATGAAAAGTATTGAATATATTTTGTAAGGATTTTTTCACTTTAATTGCAATCAAACCCAGAAATTTGTGTAGTGAGTTACAAAGGTGGTGTGTTTGTTTTCACAGACATAATTAACAAGTCATTCTCTATATTCACCTTTTGAAAATGACAAAAGGACAACTTTTCTCCAGTTTTAAAAACAGAGATTAGGAACACCAAGACAATCATGTGTTCTTTAAGAAATAAATGTGACTATAGCCTCTAATGCCACATATTTTTAGTTTGGTATTAGAGGTTTTTGGGTTTTTTTTCCTCTGGATGGTATTCTTTACAACCACATTCAATCTCCTGTTCTTGTACATAATATGTTGCAAACATATGTTATCTTCTCATATGTTTTCTTCCATGAGGCCGAAGCAGGTTTATTTGAACTTAAAGAACCAGAATGCCAGCACTACAGAAATATTCAAAGAGATGTCAGTCTAGACTTAAAGACTTAGTCTGAGAATTCACATAGAACACACATCTTTCTATAATGTTCTTGTAGTGAGATCTAATTCATTTTGGTCCCTTTTTCTAAGGCACCAAGGTAAACACCATGGTTTATCTACAGTTTAATCTTATCTATGCTTAGGATTAATTTGGAGTAAAAATGCTTAATTCTAAATTTAGTGCATCTTGGAAATAATTAAGCTAAACAACAACATTTTTATTATTATTACAAAGTACTATTGAATAGTCAACACATGCAATTACTCAGAAAGAGTTCTGAATAGTTCCTGAAGTTTAAATTTAGATTTTATCCAGGTCTACAACCATAGTTATATACAGTCAGCCCTTACAAGAAATTAATCACAAGCTTAAAAATAGGGATATGCAGAACTGTCACAATATCAAGAGTCATTTGTGCATATTTTTTGGTACATATTAAAAAAATTCATGGATATTAAACCATTTCAGATTCTCCTATTCTAGCTGAAAAAGACTGCATTCTGTCCACAGAATTACAATATAGTGAACTAGAGTTAAAAGTGATTAAAAAAAAATTTTAATGTCTGACAGTAATGGTTTTGCTTCAGTGATTTAAAAAAAAAGAGAAAAAAACAAACAAAGAAGCAAATAAAAAGCAGCTGTATTCTGCAGGAAAGAAGAAAATCCTGTAGTATTTTCCTTTGTCAGTATAAATCAGGTTTGTGAGACCCTCCTGCATTTTCTCTCATGCACCACTTGGCAGACAATCTAACAGGAATGAAATGAACCATGATACACATTACAACTAAACAGAGCCAAAAAAACCCTCCTCTCACAATAAAATATTGACATTGTGCAATTATAGCACAATTAAAATATCACTGTTACCATTTACTACTTCTTTTTATCCTTCCATTAAATCATGATTCGTGCAAATAAATACAGTTCAGCCAAGATTTTATAGAATATTTTGCCTAGACACATTTCATTAGTAAATCTTTTCACTGTCATGAATTTAAGTGGTATTGAGTAAAATATATTTCTAAAAAAATAACTTAGTTCATCAGATTTACAATTAAATATGATGAACCGATGAAAACTAGCCATTAGATGTATGTTGGATAGTTTAACTACTTGCATGTCCTTAAAACAAGTGAAAAATACTTTAGTTTATTTGGATCTTTAAATATTAGTTAATGGTGAACAACATTCTCACCCATTTGCAGTACTAGGCAGCCTCTAAGACTTTAGAAGTTATCTAATGCAAAGTTTGAACTAGAAAACTATCTGCCTGCTTTATCTGCTTAAGCTGCACAATAATCAATGATGGTTGCATATCAAACTAAACAGCCTCAAGTAGCTCTACTACCTCAGCAATGTTTTCTTGAGTGCCTACCACAGAACTCTGTCTGGATTGATTTGTGACTAAATCAAGTGGCATGGAATAAGAGGAATAAGGTTGGACCTGGCCACCTGGTTAAGAATGGAATAGACTGCTACTGTACTGCTTTCTTGCATTCATGCTGATGTCCCGATAATTTGCTTCAAAAGAAAGGATTAAGAGCAAGAGCAAAAACAACTCTTGCATGACAGCTCAGTCCTACATTGCACTAGCTAAATGCCAGTGTTTTACTGTGGTAGGTGGACGTTAGGTCCGTAAGACTGCAAATCTTTCACTAGAGACTCTGCTATTGTGACTGTTCGAGGTAGTATATTTTCAAACCATTGAAACTGTCAGATACAGGAAAAAAATACTTTAGACATTCATCCGTGGTTGGAAAGTTTGTAGATAGCGAGTTAGCAAGTTGGAAGTGACCCATAAGGATCACAGAATGCAACTTCTTGCTCCTCACAGGACTACCTAAATTTAAATCATATAACTAAGAGCTTTGTTTAGAAACTTCCAGGCTTGGTGCTGTGACCAATTCCCTGGGGAATCTGTTCCGATGACCAACCACCCTGTGAATGAAAAACTTTTTTCTGATGTCTCATCTGAAAGTCTTATGTAGCTTCGTTCCACTTCCTCATGTCCTAAGTCAACTAAGCAGTCACTAGCATCATCTAGTGGAATCCCAGTCCTTTTGATAGAAATACATGCATAAAAATGAAATTAAAATGAGGTAATTTTTCTGCACCTCTCAGTCTGATTTTGAGAAATTAGAAATTATAAAGCCTCAAGATAGAAACTAAATGGTGAGGGGTTTTTTTTGCAGCTGCTTGAAATCCACCTTTCGGTCTTACCTGGTGATGAAAGATCAGAGTGCAGACTTAAAAGCCTATGAGGTTTAGTTCAGTAAGGGAATTTCTAGTGTTGCCTAAAGTCCAATTGCACTGGAATCTCATTCTGATCACAGGTAAAGTCTTGTTGGATAGAGATTCTCTTTGCTGCAAGAACTATTAATTGTTCCTTGTGCTGATTCGACACTGCCATAGGCAAAAACATAGTAGCACAAATCTCTCTTCTGTACTTCAGTAAGTGAAAAAGCCACCTAAAAAATCTAGTTACTATCAAATATACTACCACTTACCACATTATAGGTCTAATCCTGTTGGCTTCATTTTAAGTAGAATCAGCAAAATCCCCTCTTTTTTTGTTGACTTAACATAGCTATACATTTAAAATTGGTATCATGTTCTTGACATGAACAATTTAAAACATTCTACAAATCTGACATATTTTGTTCATGCATATCGTGTGCATTTTCTGTAACTATCACTGCTTCCAGCAAAATCTTATTCTAGTCCAATAAATAATACAAAAAAAAATAAAGCAATTCATGATAACCAAAATAATTAAATAGCAGGAGCAGGTTAAAGATCAGCATTCATTTTTCAAATTAAATTTAAAAGTCTGCGGTAGTTACTTAGAAGATTGGCAAGTTTTACAAATAACATCACCAAGCCTTTTAGAGAGAAACACAGCCGCATTAGAATGGAGTCATTAGGCGATACATTTATTTTGAAGCCAATTAACCTTTTGTCAGAGAAATGTCGGAGCCGTAATGGTTTCAGCAGTGGAGGTCAGCCTGTAACAGAGGCACGTATGACAGCGATTACGCTGTCTGACATATGTTGTAGACTGAGAGTACAGCCAGAGAATGAGAATCTGCCTTCGTTTGTATTCTGCTCTGCATTTTCAGGGAGCAGGCAATCTTGACCTATCCATTTAGGTAATTAAAGCTTCTATTTGGAAGTGTCCTGCAGGAAGGTGAAATTTGGGGGAGATAAATGGCTGCTGCTCACTGTATCCAGCCACTTCCATCATTTGATGGACTGCCTGAAACAGGCTGCATTGCCAGGTCCTCATAAAAATAGAGATGAATTGGGAAGGAGACAATTCTCTAAGGCAAAGCAACTCTGTCATCTTCCTTTTTGCAGCATATAATTTAATTGTTAGCCAAGGCAGACAGCTGACTCAGGGGCCTTTCTCTAATGACTTTCCCACCATCTTCCATTTGCTAAGAAATTTTTTCAGTGTATTTACTTACAAGCCAACTTTGTTTGACAGTGAGAGATGTCACTTCAATAAGCTCAGCTGGCTGTTACAGCTGTGCTGTGACTTACCTTCCAGGCGATTTTGTTTCCTTTAGTGTCATGTTCCACGGCAATTGGGAGGTCTCCTCTGTCATAAAACTTGCGAAATGCTGTTGGCTTTGCTGGTCTTTCTTTTAACGCTCCTGCAAGTGGGGGCCCTCTCACCTTAAAAAAAAACCAAAACCAAACCAAACAAAAAAAAAAAAAAAACAAAACCCATAGTTTAGTGGTAATATATTTTTAGAAAAAGTCTAATTTACATGGTTTAAATTAGACACAGATATGAAAGAAGAATAACACTGCTCTCCCAAATTATAGCTTGCTTTCTTCTTTACATGTTATATTTCAATTCTTTGAAAGTACACTTTGGCAATAATCTACAGGTTTTGTTAACTGTTAGGAGGTTTTTTTGTTGCCACTTTCAAATTTTCCAATAAAGACTGGTTATGTTTCAAAGTAGACCCCTCCATTACCATAGAAATTTAAAGCAAAAATAAACCACCAAGAATATATTGACATTATACAGTAGAAGTTGTTGTAAAATTGAGCACTTTCCCTTTTCCTATTTATTTCTTTCTATAAGTAATTTGACTTGATTTCCACCTCATATTACTGTCCACACCTTTCATTGTCTTTC